AATAAAAGTGGGATTTAGCTGAGATTTCAAAATTAACAAGGTGTTTCCTTACTTACTGTTACAGCAGCAAGATAACCGGAAGCGCCACGGATCAACGCGCAGCGTTGTCGACATGGAGCTGGATGATCCAGACGATGCCGATGACAACGCCCCCCTCTTCTACCAGCCCGGCAAGCGGGGCTTTTACTCCCCCCGGCCGGGCAAGAACACAGAGGCCAGACTCAACTGCTTCAGGAACATTGGCAGGTAAATGAGAAAGGAACTGAATCCCATGACGTGAAAATGTTGCATCTGTATTAATCCTTGACTTTTATTTCCTTCCAGAATATTGGGGCTCTGCTTGCTGCAGAATGAACTCTGTCCAATCACGCTGAACAGACACGTGATCAAAGTGTTGCTCGGTAGAAAGGTAGAAAGCGTTTTGCTGTGTTTTTCTGTTTGCAGCTGCTACACATCTGTTTCTCCTTCTGGATGAAAAAACGAACATATGTGTGATCTGTCACTGCAGGTGAATTGGCATGACTTTGCGTTCTTTGACCCGGTCATGTACGAGAGCTTACGGCAGCTGATCCGCCATTCGCAGACGGGAGAAGCGGACGCTGTGTTTGCTGCCATGGATCTGGCCTTTGCTATTGACCTCTGCAAGGAGGAAGGGGCAGGACAGGTACCAGCCTCTATTGATATTGTTTGAATGAATAACCTGACTCCACCACTCGGCTCCTTCAGACTAACCAGTAGCAATTAGCAAATACCTGGTCAAACTTCAAATCAGCTGACCTCATTATAGGAGCTGCTTCTCAGTGAAATGCTGGTAAAAATGATAGAGTTATTAGATGAGCCATGTTTTAAAGACTCCCTGACGGAGTTTCAGAAGGAGCAGGATTACTTTTATGGAGACAGAGACCCAATTTCAAAGCGCTAAATTACAAAGTCAATTTTCTTCTAAGTCATATTTGAAATTTATAGCATATTGATAACTATGGAAGTCAACATATTTACTTGATTGTGCTATAAAGTGGCACCCTTTCAGTTTGGTCTAATGTTGATATTTAGATTTTTGATGTTATAACTGAGACTCCAGATAAACGCTCTTTCAAAAAAATAGGGACCATTGGCATGTAGATTGCCTTACTTTACATTGGGGTTATAATCTGGGTTCATGGTTCTTGAACCAACCTGGTGTAAACGCAAAGCAATCAAACAACTATTTTTTATATAAACTAAGGTAAAGAGTCCAAAGATGCACAAACTGCTTAAATGTAACTGAAGTTTGAAACATGATAGTTGGTTTTACTAAGTTGAAAACAAAACATTTGGTTGTTTTGCTCCTGCATCCAATTAGACTTCAGCTTTTAGTGGTTTAGTGATTGTGGAAAATAGTGGAATAAAAAGCAAATGTCTCATACTGCTAATTTAATTTAAAAACGATGATAAAATAATAATAAAAGAATTTAAGATGAATTTTTGTTGGAATCTGTAGTGTTTGGAATCTCTCAGGAAATTTCTCAGTCTGTATTTGAAAATGTGTTGATCTAAACTCATACAATGTGGAAAGGAAATCTTGAACGTTTCAAAAATGATAAAAACACTTATGCTACAAGATGAACTCAGTGAAAATAATATTTAATATATATATTTAAATTGCAGTTTAAGAATGAAATCTGAGTTTGAACTGTATAAACCGGATTAAATGATGATCTGATTAAGACATCAATAAAGACCAACTGAAACCAGTCACCTCAATAAAAACACATCTGAGATTGTTGATTTACTCCTTTTGTTTGTCGTGCAGGTTGAGCTGCTGTCGGGCGGGGTCAACATGCCGGTAACTCCACACAACGTTTACGAGTATGTGAGGAAGTACGCAGAGCACCGGATGCTGGTGGTGGCCGAGCAGCCGCTCCACGTGAGTCGGAACACTGACGTCGCCTTTGAGACCGGTGGGTTTTATTTGGTGTGATTCACCAACATTTTTTCCCTTTGTTTCTTAAGGCGATGAGGAAAGGTTTGCTGGACGTTCTTCCTAAAAACGCCCTGGAGGATTTGACGGCGGAAGACTTCCGGCTGCTGGTGAACGGCTGTGGAGAAGTCAACGTTCAGATGCTCATCAGCTTCACTTCGTTCAACGATGAATCAGGTCTTTCACTCGCTGCAGTCTACGTTGAACCCGATTCCACTCTGATGATGGCTTCCTTCTTAATGTTTCTGCCACAGCGTATTAAGCAAAAACACTTGTTGGTCTTACAGGGGAAAATGCAGATAAACTACTGCAGTTTAAACGATGGTTTTGGTCCATAGTAGAAAAGATGAGTATGACTGAAAGGCAAGATTTGGTGAGTTCTTTTTCTTTTTCTTTAAATTAACCTTGAATTAATGAATTGATTTAATGGGAGATTTACATTTTTAACAGGTTTTCTTTTCACAAATATAAAGTTTTCTTGCTGTTTTTGAAACCCTTTCTAAAATAACAATTGCTTTTGAAAAATTCTATAAAATAATGCTAAGATCAAGAGTTCAGTAAACATGAGTGAATTTCCTCAAATGTTTCTGTATCAAAAGTGAGCTTTGTGATGCACTGCAAAAACCAGCGTTCAATCTTTGTGAACCTCATTTATTCACAGCATGTGCTTAAAACAGCCTGAACAAATGTTTATTTGTTGAATAAAATAGTACAGTAGTAATATGCTAATAGGCTTTTTTTTATATAAGCAAATAAGTTGGAAAAAGATTCAAGAGAAATGTATCACCTTTGTTGACAATCTACAGAAAATGGGGAATTAATACTTGGCAGTTGAAAAAAGTGTCTGCATTTTTCTTGCCATATTTAAAGCTTTACTGGTTTGAACTTTCCTGTGAATGATTGAACTACTTAGTTATGGAACCATCATTTCTAAGAACTGCATTATAATCTGTTGACAAATAGGCCAAAGCCTGTTTGTCTTGGACACGAGTTTTGTTTTCACAAACATGGACCAAATCCACATGCAATTAAGCTTAATTACAATCTAAAGTCAAATAAAACCCATCTGAGTTAAAGCTGCTGTATGACTTATACAAAAAATCTTTTTTACAGATTTAATATTACCATGTCATGACAGTACAATATGAGACAGGTAATCTGTGAAATTGAGAATTGAGAAAGAGCTCCTCCATCTCAACAATGCTGCTATTGGGGTCTGAAAAAATGCATCTCTCCTGGTCAAAAACAACCATTCAAAGTCGGGAGGTTCTTGGCGCTGTAAATCAACCTTGTGAACGTGCTAATGGCAGAGAAATGGCTTACCATTACAGAAAAGCTGCTTATTGCCTGTCAATGATGGCCTTGCTAGCTAACCTTAACATCTGTGGCAGGCTTCTTGTAGCACAGAGTAAGGTACAAGAGGGTGATTGACAGCGCTAAGCTGTCACTCAGCAGTGAATTTCTCTGAGCAGAGAAATTCAGTTGATGGCAGGTCAATATAAGGCAGGGGAGCTCAATGTTTCCAGATTATGCATGTCATATTACACTGTCATGAGACAGTGACAAATATGTAACAAAAAACCAAAACAACATAAAATGTACATACTGCACATTTAATAACACATTGGTTTGGTTATCAGGTGTACTTCTGGACGTCCAGCCCCTCTCTGCCAGCCAGCGAGGAGGGCTTCCAGCCAATGCCCTCCATTACCATCCGGCCTCCAGACGACCAGCACCTCCCCACAGCCAACACCTGCATCTCACGTCTCTACGTGCCACTATATTCTTCTAAACAGATCCTTAAACAAAAACTCCTGCTAGCAATTAAAACCAAGAATTTTGGTTTTGTGTAGAGGTTCGACTGAAAGCTGGAATAAAATAAAGAGGGAAAAAAGGTTGTTGTGTAATATTTACCTAGTTCCATTTTTGTAGATTCATTCTTTTTTGTCCAGTTTTATTAAATTCAACATATGGTCTCTGTCTCCCCATCAGTTAATATTTGTTTGTGTTCTGAACACAAACTGCATATTTTAATTTTATATATATATATATCTTTATATATATATATATACACATATATATTATTTTATTTGTATTTTTTGTGGTAATGAAGAGGTCCATAACATTCCTGCATTGGCACTGTAAGATGTAAAGCCCACCGCTCTATTCTATTGGCTTAAACCTTTTGCTTCCCAGGAACTGGGTTTGCCAGGAAGCTGTCAGCCGAAAATCCTAGCCAAAGATGACAGCAGCAGACATATGAACAGGACGAAAAAGACACTGTGGTTACAATTTTGTTTCCTTCCCTATGAAAGTACTATCTCTTGACAGATCACTGCTGCCTTTGTGGAAAGTTTTTTTTTCTTGTACAGGGGGAGTAGGGAATTTCAAAATAAACTTGGATGTAAATAAGTTGTGTATGGTGTTTTGCTTCTTCTGATCAGAAGGTTCCTTTGCACTTTTCTACTTGTTCACATTGTGACTTTGAAATTGTGAGCTTTCAGTTTGTTCATTGGCTTGATTTAGAATGCCCACTTTTAAAATTATAACAGATTAGTATGTTTTCCCTGTCACAATATTAAAACAGTTCTGAATGAAAATATTAATTATAGCAATTCTTTTAAATATGAAGAAATAATCAACTATTTTATTGTAAACTGTGCCTCAACTAATCAGGTCCTTGCACTTTCCCATTTTACAGTTGTAGATTTTTTGTTTGTTTGAATCAATTATCAATCAATTATATTAATGTCTTTGTGTGGCAAATTTAATTTAAAAGTTATGAAAACAAAACGGCATAGTAAGTGTGGCTATTTTTGTACAATAAAAATATTGGGCTGAGGAATCCAGTGACGAATCCAGGACGAGTCTCTCATTTAACTATTTTCCCGTGTTTGTAGAAATATTTTAATGACATATTTTTTTGGGAAGAAATATCTAAAACCTATTAAATCTTTTTTTGGAATCCTACCACACTACTACGACTCGTTTATACGACGCACAGCCTGGAATGTTGATTTTCCTACCGCCTTGAACGCAGCATTTCTCCAGTCATAACGGAGCCATATGAGGTGAACTTGCTGTTCGCGCGGACACGTTAGATATATTGTGCTGCTCAGATTAAGGGGACGTGAGCTAATAATGATAACTGTTGGCTCACTGGCCAGTTAGCTGATATACTCTCTCGGCAGCGCGTTCAAGGTCCTGTGAGTCAGCAGTGTCCCCATCTTGGCCGATGGTGCTGGCTGATGATTTCATTGTTTGCCATCATGTCGGAGTTGTTCCGTTATTTTTAGCTAGCGTGGCTTGCTAGCTCCGCGAGTAGCGGTGAGCGCAGCGTGAATAATCAGTCTGTTGTCTGAAATAAAGAGGGATGGAGCAGTGGCAGGACGCGGCCTCTCAGCAGCTCAGGCTGCTTACCAGCCGTCTGAATGAATTGCTGACCAAAGGCCTGGAGTGGCTCCGCTCCGAATTCGGCGTGGACGTGGGACTGAAGCCGGAGCTTATTCCGCCATGGATAATCCTCCTTGCGGCATGCAGCGGGCTACTGCTGATGGTCGCCCTGTGGGCCTCAGTCTGCCGGACTGTCTTCAGAAAGCGAGCCGCTGTAAGTGCTGCGGACGATGGGGTCGAGGGGAAACGAGGAGCCAGTAAGCCCGTGAAAGCGGAGGAACCGAAGAAAAAGAAGAAGAAAGGAGAGAAGGTGGGTGAATGAAACCGGGCTGCGGAGCTAGTTGACAGGCTAACGGCCACTGTGACAGTTGTAGCAAACGTGACGGCTAACCAAGCTAGCCACTGGCTCAAGAGGGAGTTGGCCCTATTTGAGGCTCTTATGTCCCACTGAATGTTGGTTTGGCTGTTAAGAGACTTTATGGCGTTCTTTATTCTCCTTCTATGTTTCATTAGAAAGCTCAGCCGAATGGGAGAGCCGTTGCTGAAGCCCAGGAAGGAGCCACAGCGTGTGAGGACAGAGTGCCACATCACCAGCCTCCCCCACCGCAAGTCAAGACCGACAAGGTTGCAGAGGTAATTCTGACTGAGAAACATTTCTTTTCCCGATTAAACCTGCGTCAAACGTTGCACCCTACTAAGAAAAGCTTCGCAATTTTTGGTACATTCATAGAAACACAGAGCAGGAGAGTCCATTCCACATTGTGAAAGTCCATAGATTGAAATAGGAGGTTCAGTACATGAGCTAATTTAGGACAGTCTTTATGACTTTGAGGGATTTTTGTTTCTCTTGTCACCGTGTTATTCATGTTTTTCCTTTTTCCTATTCCTGTGTAATAAATTGTGCATTTTAGCCTTATTCATATTGCATATTTACAGACAAAGAAGTCCAAAAAGAAGGCCAAACCAGTTGTGAAGGAGACCAAGGCAGCAACTGGGGATGGCAAAGAACCAGAAGAAGGTGAAATTATAAGAAATAATTGTTTAATCAGCGGCAAATGGATGTAAATCTGTATTACATGAGTTAATCTTTTTAACAGCCGCATGTTCTTTCTGAACCATAATCGGTCCTTTAACGCTGTGAAATGCGTGTTTCAGGCACATGGGAGACCAAGGTCAGCAACAAGGAGAAACGTGAGCAGCGCAAGAAAGATAAGAACTCGAGCGACGGCTCCGCCAGTCCTGGAGGAGGAGACACACCTGTGAACGCTCCGCCGGAGCAGCTCAGAGCCTCCGCAACGCCACCTGCACCTCCTGCCAGCCAGAAGAAGAAAAAAGGTTACATTTGTTGTTATCTCGGATTTCAGATGAAATGTGAAGTTTGCCTGTGGCCCGGTTATTTTGTTTGTGTTTTTTTTGTTTTGTTCATTTGTTTGTTTGTTTTTGCCTCTCCCTGGTTAGTCTCCTGTTGATGAAGTGTACTAAAAATATGGTTACTATGGGGAATTAAATCTTCTGTGAGTGTTCCCTGAAGCGGCCGAGTGCTGTTTACCCTTTGGAAACAGCCTCGCGTGGATGGCACTCGTGACCTTTGTTGACCTTTTTCTGTTCTCAGGAGAATCTGCCAAAGCGAAGGCAGAGAAGGCTGAAGCTGCTGTCTCTCAAGGTAATTACCAGCACAAGTGTCTTCACTTTGACGACTTATTGATTCAGCCTCTCAGCCCTTTGCGATAGCAGCTTTAGTTAGGGGAATAGACATAAGTCCTTGAAATCTAAAGTTTTTTCGATGCAGTTTTCAGTGTTTTTTTTTTTTTTTATTATTATTTAATTAAATTTTTATTTATTTATTTTTGTCATTTTTATTCTTTGCTGTTAGCTAACAGCAGCGTGGTGCCGGAGGCGGCCACTGCCACTGCCGAGATGGCAGTCAAGGTCGCACCGCAGAGCGCTGCTCCAAAGACGAGCTCCTGGACAACCCAGAGGCAAACGGCCTCACTTTGGAGAGCAGGTTCAGATGGTAAACATGTTTCTTTTTTTAACTGGGTATGACATTGTTTCCGAGAGATGTTAATTGTTAGACATTTTTAGATATTACTTTTCCATTTTTTTGCACTACAAGCACAAAATAAAATATATTTCGGGGAGGATTCCCTGTAGAAATCTTAACATAAAATGTTAACTTGTTTTCAACATGTCTAAAACGTTTCACAGTCATATTGCCTTTGTTCTTATCCTCCTTACTTATATTTTATGGAATATTTGTACGATTAATCGAGGAATCGGATCTCTCTCTCTCTTACTATTCCGATCTTTCTGACAACAGAAAATCTGTTGTACTCCAACCATCGCACTGCAAAATTCAACGATCCTTCCTGATCCCCAAACCCTCACAATACACCACACCACCAACATCACCACCATCCTGCTAGCACTTCACAACAACTTGTAGGCGGAAGTAAGTGCGCTGCCCCCATAAATAACGATCCGGGTGGAATATGGTGCACTACATAATAAAACATAATTTAACGAAGCTTTGAGGCAGATACATTTTCCTCAAGGAATTTTAATAACCAAGGTACTCGAATCATTCGAGGAGTCCTTTTAGCCCTAATAAAAACATTAACCGGTGTGCTTAAGACACTTTGTAATCTTTTTTTGCTGTATGCTTTGGGTTATTGTAAATTTGGAAAACCTGTTTGAGCTTAAGATTCTTTAATATTTGTCTGTAGAGTTTATTCCTGACCCACTGGAAAATACAAACGTAGCCAAGCAGATTTTTATGTTGAGATTCAGTCAGTTAGTGACTGAATTGTCACTATGTGTGTGTGTGTTTTTCAGAATCATGGGCTGTGCCGGTCCCCTCAGCAGAACTCAATCTGGTGTCTCTATCCAGTCTGGGAGTTCCTCGTAAGTTTGCTGCTCATTTTGTAAAGTGACTCGCCACCAGATGGCGTAGTTTTCCTCCTCTGTTTATTTGATGAACTGGTTGTGTTTTGTAGAGGCCCAACCTGTGAGCGACCTGACCTGGCTCAGTCAGCCCAGAGTGGACGATGAGTGGTCTGGACTCAGTACGCTATGCTTTTATTTTTTTCCTTTCCTTTTTTTCTCTTGAAGCCTTTCTGTTGAAGTAACGTACCATGGTGGTTAAGATCCACCCGGTCATTCTGTCTGTTTTTTAGATGGAGGTTCAGCCGACCCCGGCTCTGACTGGAACGCTCCGTCTGAAGCCTGGGGGAACTACGAGGAGCCCACCGCTGAGCCGGGCGAGCCTCAGGAGCCGCCCCTCCCTGAGCCAGCCAAGGCTGCTCTGATCGCAGCGGCTGTGAGTTCACACACCGTCCTTCTTAACTTGATGGAAGTTAGCTGAATACTATGAACAACTAAATGAAAGGTGTACATTTCCATATTTTGCTACATTATAATATATAAGCTTTATTGTACACAAAAAGATTTTATTTTGGAAAAAAATGTGTTTTTTAACATCTTAATATATGGTAGGGTGTAAAGGTTGCCACAGTAATTAGAGCATTTACAGATATAATTCATTACAGCTTTGAATTCCAAAGTTGCTCAGGTCTATTCTAACTTCTTGACGAAGAAGCTAAATTGATACAACATATGACTTCGAAGACGTTCCAAGTACCTTCACAAGGAGCAGTTTTTTTTTTTTCTGTTTCGTGTTTACGGTTGTTAGACTTTTTTTTGTTTGTCCCCTTCATTGTTTGAAGGAGGAGGATGAAGATGATAAGGACAAAGGTGATGCCACTACTGATGGAGCCACCAAAACTAAAAAGAAGAAAAAGAAGAAGAAGAAGACTTCCGAGGAAGGAGGAACACTTGGCCAGGTAAAGATCAAACCTTAAGCCATAGAGGAATTCAGACGACTCTGAGGTCATTTTGGTTGTGGAATCAATCAGACGGTACCATTGAATTTGTTTGTACTTGACTAAATTTCCCAATTAGTTCAATTTAATTTCCTCCTCTGTCCTGTGAAGTTGGACGAGCCGGCGAAGGAAGCGGCACCAGCACCTGCCGTTTCGGTGAAGAAGCCGCCACCTGTTCAGGAGAATGCTGCTACCGTCCAGCCTGTTAAGGCAGCTGCTGTGGAGGTCAGTGGGGCCGCCGGGGCAGGAGGGGACGGGATCGGATAAGCCGTGTTAATGGCTCATTCCCCCATAAGCTCATCTGGGTTCAACAAACGGTTGAAATAAGATCAGATGCTGTCGCCGTCACAAGCAGAGTGGTTTTTGGTCCATCTTTATCCTGAACAGATTTTTATTGATTTTTTTTTTCAGCTTCCCTTGACCCCAACAACAATATAAAAGTTTTTCTGTCCCTTCTCTGAACAGGCGAGAGGAGATCGACCCGTGAAGGACCCCATATCCCAGAAACCCCCTGTCACACAAGTGCCACAGAAGCCAACCGATGGAGAGCCCGCTGCCAAGCAGAACAACCTTCCTGCTCTGACACAGCAAAGTAAGAACGTCACACTCGGTCCAATGCTTCTCAAGGGGGCGCTGTTTCAGGCTGTTTTGCTTATACCTACAGTGTAGTCATACTATTTTCTAAATAAAAACTAATAAATCAGTAAATTTTGTTGTCAAAGTAAACAACCAAAAATGGAATTTATTTAAATTTTTCTATTGTGTAATAAAAGAAAGTTATAAGAGGGACAGTATCATAATAAATCAACTTTTATTTTTTAGCTTTCCATTACATTATTACATATCTGGAGTGTTTCTTTAATCTCCCATGGCAACCATTCACCTGTGCCAAACACCTGGCAGGACCTAGCTCCGCCTTTCAGACGCAGCTCCTCCTCAGAGCCGCAGTTTCCAGCTTTCTGCCTCACAGAGAAGCCCTCCTTTACTTTCCATTCAGCTCCTTAAGACTAGCCAGCAGCAATTAGCCACCACCTGTTGGAACTGCTCATCTGCTGAGCTCATGATAGGAGTTGGGCTAGTTTGGTCAGATAAGTACAAAATGTCTTGGATTATGCATTTTAAATGCTGAAAAGTCAGACTTGTTCCCAAAAGATTGCAAAGTACTTAAAAACTAAAAGAAAATTACAGAAAGTTTTTGAGGTTTTTTTGTAATCCAAGAGTTCAATAGTGCTTCAACTTTTTCAAAACAACTAGTTCTCCATGATTTGACTTTCTGCCTCATACATTGAAGGTGTTCTTTGCCTTGTTTCCACAGAAAAAAACGAAGAGAGCCAAGTGCCCAAACCTGCGAAGAAGAAGAAGGCGAGGAGAGAGACATGAGACGCCTCCATATGCAAGAGACTTCACATCCTGCTTATGCAACACCTTCTCCAACAGGGATTTGGAACGACGGCCGCCGTTGACGAACTTTACCGGGGGGGAGCGGGGGACGTGTCCGAAAACAACTTTTTTTTCTTTTTTTTCTTTTTATACACATCATGTGCCAGTTTGGTGGATCCTTGAAAACTGAAATTTTAATGCAGTGCAATCTAATGTGATGAGGTGTTGATAATTTCTATGTATGCATTTGATCTTTCTGATAATGTCTTCTAATTTCACTGAATCAAATAACTGAAGGAACTGTAATTTAGTCCTTAGACCTGTAGAAAAAAACACTGATGAAGTTTAGAAATCTATGGTGGTGGCTGATGAGCGGCGCTCGCTGTGTGGAGAGTAACGGCTCCTCAACACTGGGCCGAATGGCTCGAACCAGCCCTCTTTTAACCTGCTCTGATGTCGGTGGTTTCAGTCCAGCGGTTGGAAGCTCCACCAGATGTAAACTATCGTGATGTAAATGAGCCTCGTCGGGCACAGAAAAGGGACTCGCGCCAGCTCTACGGTTCTCACTTTTTCTTCCTGTGATTCTGGAAAAAAAATGTCACCGCCTCTGTCCATCTCGTTCGTCTCGTCCGTTTTGCTGCCGTGTGTCGACAAAATGTTCTCTTGCTGTCTTTTTTACGGCTGGCTGCTGTCTTTCAGCCGCAGCAATGCTGTGGGGGTAGGGAGGGCCTCTGATGGCGAACATGTCATTGTTGTCAGCCTCTTAGTTTTTTTTTTCTTTTGTTTTCCACCTCTGCTTGATTCAGAAGTCCTCAGAATCTTTTTGTAAAACTTGTTGTAATAAAAGAAAATTAAAGCCATATGTAAAAGACTAAATAAAGGCAGTTTTTCTTATCTTTGGTCGAATAATACAATCTCATGAGAAATTGATAAAGTATATACTTTCATTTAAGTGCAAATCTTAAATTTGAGTAAATTTTGAATTGTAGCTTTTGCGTTTCTGTTCTGTTTCAAATCAAAGCATGAAAAAAAAAGTCATGTGAAATATTGGACTGTTTTTATCTTTTCAACGGTAAAGACAACAAATAAATAAACGGATCTGGGTCGAGAAGTGACCCATAAATTCCAGATTCATGTTCTGAGTTTAATCCGTTCAGCTACTCTCTCGAAATTACGCATTACATAATCGGATTTGAGCCCATCTCCTGTCGGGTGTTTGTCGTCAACATGACTGAGGGCGCACTGGTCGTTCAATCAAGACAGCATAGATTCACCGGAAGTGTTCTTCAAAATAATTTTAGCTGAAGCATATTAGACCAAAACGTGAACGGGGCCTACAAACTCAATTAATTTATGTTGTAGCACCAAAAATAGACCCTTCAATGAAAAAACAAAAACAACTATGAACATTTTGAGAAAACAAATAAAGTTGGCCTGTGTTGTTGTGTTTGTTCACCCCAAAGAAGTCAGTTGACCCCAGGGCCGTTTAATAACCAACCAATACAAACAAAATTCACAGTTTCCCCATTTACATGTTTCTGCTACAAATTACAATTAAAGTGTTGTCACTAAATTATATGGATGTCAGTCATGTTGGATTTTCAACTTGGGAAGAAACTTCATATTTTCTCACACGGACGTTTGACCTCAGGGACCCTGCCTGTTCATTTTCCTAATTAAAATGAAGATCCAGCTTCTGAGTAAAGTTCACAATTCGACCAATACCAGCTAAATAATTCCCTCCTTCGCCCGAAGAAGAAAAACTACACTGAAACTGTGTTTGTTACAAAACTTCAAAGAATTTCTTAAACTTTCCAGCTTTTAATTTGGAATCCAACTTCCGGTTTCCGCCTCAGACCGCGACGAACTTGACGCGGCAGCGCGTTTGTAACCCGCTCAGCCGACAGACCAACAGCGGGTGGCTTTGCTTCTCGTCACTTCTCAGCGAGGCTCGGCACTCGACGGACGTGCTTCGGACGACGAGGCGACTGCTTTTTCCTCCCAAACCCGACCCGTCACCGGTCCTGCGTGTAAAATGTTCACAGACAAGATGATGACGTCCCCGTGGGACCGCTGGTACTCCACGAGCTGCTGCCTGTGCTGCCATGTCCGCACAGGAACCATCATCCTGGGGGTCTGGTATATGGTGAGCATCCGTCTGTGAGCGTGGCCTCGTTGGAGGAATTCAGCTTGGATGCTGTTCTCCAACAAAAGGATGAAATATTATTTCGGGGCATTCTGGTCATGTCTGTGGGTTTGCAAGCCTATCGCAATAAGCAATTAATCAATTAATCGCGTGATAAGTTAAAAGCTATTATATATATATATATATATTATATATATATATATACATTTGAAATAAAATTCCTTGTAAGGGTAAAGTGTTCTTTACTGAAACTTATTGATCTTGCAGAGGGCTGAATTTGAATTATTATGCCGTTTTCTATACATTACGGTCTCAAATTAACGCAATAATATTTTCTTTTATTGAAATACTTTCTGTGATAATGTATCATCCAGTAAAATGTTATCGTGACAGGCCTATGTTTGTTATTGTTTACCTCTGAGATCATAAGCAGCAGATGAAATGTGCAGCCAAGTTTATGCAACTATCAGAGTTTATTCCAGGTTTTGTCTCCCAATTGAAATTAGGGGAAAATCCAGCAGCCTTTTAAATTGCATGTGGAAAAATTGTATCTCTACCTGCTATTAATAAATCAGCAGCAGGTCTATTCAGGTAGCAGGTTCGGTGTCAGGTTGCCTATTGAATGTGAGCAATGCTCCGTTGCTTCACTCCATCATTAGGGATGAATGAGTCATCAGCATAAGGTACTGCACAGGTCAGAGATTGTGTTGTACCAAAAACACAAATTTTCAAGCGGATCTTTAATGTTCCTGTGTTTCTAGTGTCCACTTTACGTCTGCACACAACCTAGAGTTCATATATGCATTCCTAGGTACACAGCGCCACTGTAATTTGCCTGTTTCTTACCCACATGTCCTCTGCTCCTCAGCTCATCAATGCCGTGGTGTTGCTCATCCTGCTCACGGCCCTCGGCGATCCAGAAAGTACCATCTGACCAGTGCCGAGTTGGCGAATGACCTGGATGTAATGGATGACGCCAGTAAGCATCCTAAAACAAAGTTCTAAGTAGAGCTTCAGTCTGTTTTCCACCCGACACACTACTATGCACTACATGTCTATCATACAGAACCCTGCTACAATACATTGAAGTTTGTTACTGTAACATAAAAAATATAGGAAAATTGAAGGGGTATTAACATTGCTGCAAGGCACTATCTACTACGCCTCTGGTACTTTTGCTGTAAGATGAATTGTTGATTAATTGATAAGTGTTATTAGCATAATCTAAAGGTAAGTGTTGTTTCTGCTCCGTTTATGGTTTCCTCAGGGAAACTAATGCAACACTTGACTGTTTTACTAGACTGTTTCTCCAACAAGTGGACAGTCAACACCTTTGTTTAACTTTAACACCCAAAAGCACAGTCATGCAAACCTACTTTCCATCTGCCCAAACACTCAGATAAATCCGTCTTAGCCCAGGAGTGCTCCGGTCTCGTTTGGTTGGAGTTTATCGGCACCATATGGCGTTCATTCAGATTCCCTGACTCAGAATGACTGTAAAGTCCCAGGATTAGAGTTGCCCTGCAAAGCCGACTGTGTTCCAGCCGGTGCAGAATCTGTCACCTCTTCTTTTGAAACGCACACGAAAACAAGAACACTTTTAAAGTGATTTATTTATCTGAGGAGTTTTTAGTGACAAAGACTGAAAGTTAGAGAGAACGTCTCTTTGTGGTGTCGGTCTGTCACTGTCTACTGATTTGAGGTCATCTTGTAATTTTACTCAATAAGAAAACCAACGCCGTCAACAAAGACCCCTCTACACAATCAATAAAAATATGAATTTTATTATGACTTATGATTACCTGCTCTACGAATGTATTTTGAATGGCAACTACATATTTTTGTAGCGACTAAGGAAACTTTTCACACAACTCCCTGATGTTTGCTTTGCACTTGTTTGAAAGTAAAGTGCGATAGTAAAGAACGTTGAGGTGATTAATGGATTTAAAATCCCCAGGAGCCAAAGAGGTTAAAAGTGACTCGTTGCATGTTGGTCAAATTTGTTGTCCGCGAATAGCAAACATGGCTCATAGCCACCAACAATCCAGCTCAGCATGTCCAGATTAGCTGGAACACAACATACTGTAGAGTGTTATTGTACAGTTGCTCTATTATGGGAAGAAAAATGTAATCACACTTATTTTCTTACATTTATGACACTTAAAGAGCAATATAGGAATATACTTTCAAACCAGAATGAAAAACAAATAAAATAAAATTGATAAGAATACTTTTTTGATCAATTGATTTTTTTTTCTTATACTTGTCTAAATAGAAACAAGATGAATTGTAAATGAGGTCTGCAGTCTCACCTTCATTTTTGGTGTTCAAAATTCTCAGGTTCTAATTCTGTCAGCTCTCTTGACATTCAGGTAAATTAGTCGCTGCACACAGAGGGACATATTTTCTGGACTGGATGTGAGTCACTGGATGACTCACAGCAACAGTTTATTAAAGAAATGCTGGATAATAAGTTATTGATCCACATGACGAGCAAGATGTTGTCTCTGTGAAACTGTTCCAGTACTGCTGCTGCTTTATCTGATTGTGCCAAGCTCTTATTTTACGTAACAGGGTTATTGGTTTTCCTTTGTTATGCTGAGGGTGATGTCAGGTAAAATAAACAGCGAGTGACCCAAAAACCGAGGTTTATCCCTTTTCTGCTTGCCGGATGAAGCGCGCCTTTATTGTTTCTATTTCTAATTTGAATTTCTAATATATATATATATATATATATTTTTTTTTTGCTATTGCAGACATGTGTATTGCCTCAGCAATTTCCCTGCTGATGATCCTTATATGTGGAATGGCAACATACGGTGCATATAAGGTAAACATGATGGTTGTTTTGTAATATCTTTTACTTTTTTCCCGGGGAAGAATTCTACCTTTCTGTCTCACAAACGTCTCTGTCGCAGCTGCGTGCCGCATGGATCATCCCCTTTTTCTGCTATCAAATATTTGACTTTGCTCTCAACGCCCTGGTGGCCGTCAGCATAGTGATGTATCCGAACACGATACAGGATTACCTGCAGCAGCTGGTAAGAGTCGTGTCATTTAAGTAAAAAAACGAGGGATGCTCCTTTACGTTTACCTCTCGGCTTAATGACGGTGTTTTCTTTTGACTCGTTTGCAGCCTGACAATTTCCCTTACAAAGAGGAAGTGACTGCGCTCAGCAACATCTGCCTGGTCCTGTTTGTGCTGCTCTTCATCGCTGCATCATCGGCTTTAAGGTAAAACCTTCTTTGACTAAGAACCCAGGCATACATTCAAAAGTGGGTTTTTGATCAGTATTAATAACATTTTATAATCTTTCTTTCACATACGTCTCATCTGGACATATTTTTAACTGAATACGACTGTAGTGAGCAGCAACAGACAGGGGAGGGGCAGCACTGCATTATTGAGCTCCACCCAGCTGGAGAAAACTTTTTCTTGGTTTGTGTGATCTACGTACCATCATCCAGATCACACTCCTGTGGAGTGCCTTCATTGTGGAACCCTCTTTAAATCACACTGGCTCGTCTAGTTGGGCGTGACAATAAGAAAGTAAATCACACTCAGAGCGGCTTTGGGCCGGGGAGCAGATGGACGGGTGGATGGACGCGGCAGATGGTGTTGTGTTTAACAGAGGGGCTCCAATGGCGATCCGCCTGCCGAGAGCAGAAAGGATT